CCTGAACTCACCAGGATCTATTCCTTCATCCCCATAATTTTTGTCATGCCTCCAGTTGAACATGTGGCTCTTGGATTGACCTCCTCAGTCACTTATTGATTAACAGTGATATTTCTATTTGCTGGAAGACTGTTATCCTCGTATTGATAGACTGTTGCTGATGCTGCTACTGCTGAGTTTTGCATAGTACTGGCTTGTGCCATTTAGACTCTAGACAGAAGTGCTCCAGGAATAATGCTCTCTCTCTCTCTCTCTTTTTTTTCCTAATAAGGCTTATTGCTCAAAGAAAGTGATTCCAGAATTCTCTACCATTACTACATGGCACTATGTGGGGACTTATACAGCCTGGGGAACAGAGGAAAAACACTGAGGAAAGGGAGTGGGTGCTGCCATGGGGAATTTCAATAGCTGGTTACTGAAGCCCTGGCACTGAGCTGTATATATTTTTACTACAGAACTATCTGTGATCCTCCCCTCGTAATCACTCTTGAATGTTCCAAATGTAAGAAGGAGATAAGATATACCACCTGTACTCCAGAACTGGTTTAAGGAATAAAGAATTTACCAACCTCAATCTGACTGGATAGGGACAGTTCATCTCTTTGGCCTGCAAATGGGAATAACAAAGAAATTGTTATTTAGAGAGCCATAGATGTGGAAATCATCCAGCTTTCCATTTCCTGGCCTGGCTTTTATGTAAAAGGTACAGATTTCTGTTAATTTAACTACTTGAATTAACTAAATTAAGTACTTGTGTTGATTTTTTACTTTTTTAACATTATGAATACATTTCCATTTATGATATAGTTGTGATGCTGTTCTAAAAATCTATAAAAATAAATGAATAATTTACGTAAAGCATTTTGTGGGGATTTAAAACATTTAAAACAGTTTATGTTCAGTATACAACCAGAAAGATTGTCACCAGTGATATCAGGCCTTGAACCGCTAAGTAAAATTGTTTCCCAGACACAGTAAGTCTGGGGGAGAAGCACTTCAAAGAAACATGTTCTGTGGAAACAGTTGGTAATGCGTGGCTAAAATAAAAAGAGTATCTCTATCAAATGTATTGAAGTTAGAGCGGTTACTGGACACCATATTGATCCTCCTAACATATAAAGCAGAACGTGAAGAAGGGTTATGATCATCAGGTATCCTAGTTTTCTCTGATTAAAAACAAATCCCCAATTTTCAGATTAAAAGAAGTAACCCAAAATCCATGTTTCCATCATCAAAATGGAATACCACTATATATCTATCCATATAATACTGAGTTTCATTTTAATCACAGAAAAATGTAGATTTTGGGTTACTTTTTTATATCCGAAAATTGGGGATTTTTTTTTATTAGAGAAAACCAGGATCCCTGCTTATGATAAAACAAAGGGAACTTCAGTAAGTGCTAAGATTTTCCAAGTCTCTCAGGCAGCAAAAATTATAAGCATTAGAAAGTTAGAAAGATAGTTAAAAATAGAGCTTATGATGGTTGATAATGAAGGGGAAGCATGTTTCCCCATACAGACTCTATGTTTCTCCATTCAGTTTCCATCTATACAAGAGTTATCAGTTATATCTGTCATCCAGTACACAGCCTGATTTACTAAGAAGGCATCATGCTATTGTTGAAAGTTTGGAAGATGAAAGCCACCCATTTCATTTGGTAGTTGCATTTTTTTTAAATGAAAGTCAAGAACTTCTTGAGCATTGCCACTGAAATCCTATCCATGTCTTCCCTCAGTATGGAGCCATGCTCAAGAATATTCTCTTTCCAGGTGAGTGAACAGTAATTTTCTTCAGTGGGGTAAACACAAATAAAAAACAGAAGTCCAGTTTTTCCTGTATCTATAAATAAATTTTAAGTCATTTTATGAATGTATGTTGCTGATGCTTGTTTATTATAAAACTGAGATGCAGATGCCCCAAGGCAAGGAAAGTAAGGTGGTTAATTTTGTTGATGGTTCTCTAAGAGACCAATTGAAGTTATTCACCTTCTGTCAAGGCCTGACTTTTTGCTCCCTACTTCATATGGAATTAGATATAGGTTTAAGAAAGGATGGGCACCTCAGTAGAATCTTTGCTAGTAAAACAGGAAAAAAGTCAACCAGGAGAAAAAGTCAATAATTAAATCTGCATCCTCCTTAAATCTTTCTCTAGGAATATATAGATAAGTTTCCTAAAAATCAATTTGAAAAAAAGAGATAATAATTCAGAATAGTATTTTTTAAGTGAAAATCCTGTCTTCTGCAATCTACTGTCAATGAGGATTTTTTTCCTGTTTTAACTGCTTTTGGGCCATAGATTACTTGATATTACTTCCCTAAATTAGAAAGGATATGTTATAGCTTAAAGAAGAATACTTCATTACCCTTGCACATACCTGTGCACTGGAATATTTATTATGTACTTCTGGGGCATTTAGGATATAGACAGGATATACAAGTTGTCCACTATTGTGGGAAGAACACAACTAAAAACAAAACAGTAAAACAAAATCCCCAGCTCAGAATATATACTTTTAAGGTGCATCCCATCTGAATCTTAGCAAATACAGAATCATAGAAATGTAGGTCTGGAAAGGATTTCCAGGAATCATTTTGTACAGTCATCTGCATTAAAGCAGAATCAAACACAGCAGGCCCATTCCCAGCAGATATTGGTCCAACCTGTTTTGGAAAAAAATAAATAAAAAAAGAGATTTCATAGGGCAATACCATTTTTGGTAGAAAGCATTTTCCCCGCATCTTGCTGTGCAGCCTACATTTTTCTTATTTCTGTGATCTCTTTTTATGCATTCCCTACTGGCTATGGTAGACAATTGATCAGTGTTCTTGTTAAGACAAGTGAAAATACCCAGTTCCTGTTACCTTTCCTCCTAGGTCATGATTTCAGAACTAGCTATATTCTGTTGGTCTTTCTCCCATTAGTCTATATCTTTCTTAATGTGTGGTATCCAAAACTGAGAGAGGCAGCATACATTGCTCTGGCAATGGCTTTACCAGTGCCAAATAGAGAAGATTTATTACCTTCCATGTCTTAAATACAACACTCTGTTGATACCAACAAAAGTAAGATTTGCCTTTTTCTGGAAAAAAAATAAACCCCACAAACATTTTTTTTTAATTAAAAAAAAAAAAAAATCCCACTATGGCTTCCAGATCCTTTCTGCCACAAATGGTTAAGTTGTTCCACATTAACTTAGTTTGTATTTGTGAATTGGGATTCACCTTCCTAATAATTTCTCTTTGTACTTGTCTTTATTGAGTTTCATTTAGCTGATTTCAGACCATCTCCAACCTGTCTACACCATTTTGAATTCTGATCTTGTCTTTCAAAATGCTTATAACTCCTCCCAGTATGCTGTGATCTGCAAATGTTAGAAGTGTATTTTCTACTCCATTATCCCAGTTGTAATGAAAATATTGATTTGGATAGACCTTGATGGGAGCATACTTGAAATGACCTCCCAGTTTGATAGTCAACCATTGATAGCTTACATTTTAATGGTATTTTTTCAATCAGTTGTATTAACATTAAGATGATTTCATGTAACCAATGTTTCCTTGGCTTACTTAGGAATATACCTTGTAAGACAGAGTTATCTGCCTTTAATAAAGTCAGGAGATAGCATATCTACTGTGTTCACTAGGTCAGTTACCCAATTAAAAAGATAAATGAAAATACACACTTATTCTGATGAGAAATAGACTTTGTAAATGAAATATCTGGTTATACTTACTCTCCTTTGTGGTTCACAAGTCAATAATCAGAGTTAAAAAATGTGTGTGTCAAAAAATGAGCTCATATGAGGACTTGAAGACAGGAAATTTTATATGAAGACATATAATGACCAGTTTATTGTCCCAACATGGCAATAAATTAGTGCAAACGTATACTTATGTACCTTAGTGGATAAAAATCTAAGATTACCTTTTTCCCTTCCTCCTTTATATAAGATGATGACAAGAATTCACAGGGAATATTAATTGGTTAGGAACATTATGGATACTTTTTATTTTTGGCAATAAAAATCAGATTCTCAAAAGTACTTATGTTCATTACTCTCTCCAGTGACCTAAATTAACTATTTGACCACTACTCAGCTGCCACCCAACTTTTAAGGTACCTAAATCCCTTAGATACCTATACTTCTGCCAATAGATTTGCTTATGTCACACAATGGCTAATATTCTTTCCTGAATTCTAGCTCAAAGTGAAGTCCCAGATGCCCCAATGGTGGGTTCTCAAACTAGTCATTCCTTTGCTTATAGTGCCAGCAAGATATTTCCTTAGAAGGGTGATCATAGCATACCTTGGTCAATGATAGCCTGCACAAAAGATATCTGGTAGGTAAACAACTATAACGTATTAGAACACCCATCTGGTCTTTCTCCAGGGACCTATATACAAGTCTCCAACATCTGAGATGAGTGACCTAACCACTGGACTACAGTCAGGCTTTGGTCAATAAATTACTTGTGAAAAGTAGAACAATTCCAGGAGAGCCTTGGATAGATCCATCCCAGAGAAGATAATTAACAATGCCTGGTATTTAGGAAACTACCATATGATGTTAAAGAAGTGGCTTCAAGTGCCTACTCCAAATCACTCTTAATAAAATGTTCACTGATGAAAAGTTTACATCCAAGACAGAATATGCATTCCTATTTAACAGTCAATATTTAAAATTAGAGTTGCATCAAGTGCAATAGAAGGTTATTTCATTCCTTATCAAGATAGTTTCCACCATAACTGATGATAACAGTCTCCACATCAGCAATTTAGTAATTCCCCTCTGTCAGTCTGCCCTCAAGCAAACATAATCACTATTGCCTGTTTGGCAGCAATACCTGATGCAATACATGATTGTTTGTTTAGTGCCTTTCTACACTGGCAACATCCTATTCTTTAGAACACTATAATGAATATTCTGTAGATATGTTTTTTTGAAACTGCCTGGAGAAAATGTTATAGAAAATGGGTCAATTTTCTGTGGAGATTTTATAGACTAACAGAATGAGCTGAACTTAATTTATATGAAAAGTCTCTGTATAATTGTTATAAGAAATCCCATAGTTATTTTTACATGTAATTTAGACATGACCGTTTATAGTTGATTGATTAGAGAAGTTATACCTTGTTAAATAAAATATATATTCTGAAGCCAACAAGGTTGGGGGGAAAATCTTTGTAACAGGGCAATTGTTAAATAAGTCTAGTATAATCTTTCCCCCCCTTGTTAATCAAGTCTAATATCTATTAGTGTCACTGATCTACCCTTTGAGTAAGTTGTTACTATAAGGATCCAAAGCATTTGAAAAGTATAACTGCAGACTGAACTCCAGAGATACAGGACTGTACTCGGTGCTGAGGTGAGTAAATGTCAAGTCAAGGCCTGAATTTGACCCACTAGTGTTTAATTATTAATGATGATTAAGCTACTAATATAGATAAACTATCTGTGATAAAGTCAGTTATGAGCGTTACTAACAGAGATGATTAATAAAGATTACATGAAGTCTTTAGTTCTTGATCCTGAATCCTATGCCACTTAGCTTGGTAACTCACTTTCAGTTTAGCAGTAAGACTACATGCATAAATAAGGATTAC